TCTCGCTCGGCAGCCGGCTGGATTCAAATATGAGCCGACTATGTGATGGATTTCCGGCGAGTGACGGCTGAGCTGGCACCGTCCGGACAGCTTCGGCGGCGAATTTGGCAGCGCCTAATGGTGCCGAGGAGTCGGCCCGGCTGGCTCGCCCGCCCCGCCGCCTTCAGATCTGTCAGACGGGCGTCCCCTGCTGCCGCCTTCCTCCGCGCGCCGGCCCGGCGACGCGTCAGGGGGAGCCGGCCGCCCGCGGGCGTCTTGCCGCTCCGCCTGCTCGCCGCTGTGCCGACACGAGCGCGGCTGGCCCTGCACGTGTCGGGGCGGTACGGCGGGGCTCGGACACGTGCAGTGCGTGTGCACGTCCCTGCACGTGCAGGCCTGGGGGTTCACGATGCGCTCGTGATCGTGCCCGATTTGCTGCCGTGTGGTCGGCATGCTCGGGAGGCAGCCGTCCGATCCGGCGCTCCCCTCGCACTAGACGAGCCTTTTCTGCCGTCGATCCATCACCCTGCTGCGCTCTGCTATTGAAAAACCATTGGCTCTTCTAAATTCCAAGAGGTCCAAAAATACCCGCAGTTTGTAGGGCTAATGGGAAGTAGTACCATTTCAGCAAGACGATGATATACACCGCTGTTAAATGTGCTCCATGGCCTCCCTCGAATACGGAACCCCGTTTGGAGCTGTGTGAGAGGAATTCAGGGCTGCAATGACGTTACTGGCGAGCAAAATTGTATTAGAACGCACGCCACAACATAGTCTGGTGCGTCCGTGTCGGCTGCGAAAGATGGCATGGCTGTTCAGACTGTCTGACACAGCCCCTGCAGTTTTCTGTCTCGTCCCGAGCGACAGTGGTGCCAAGAAGTTGTCCTGGACCAGATGTTTCAAATATACTGAGTGGATTGAATGTCTTGCTCTGACATGTGTTGTCCCGCGTCACGCGAGGCGCCTGACCGAATGCGCAAGAGGCAGCGACGCTTCTCTTTTTTGGGTAGAAACTGGCCGGACGACTTGCGCCGTTTGAGCTCACGCATCAGCGAACAGTGCCAACAGCGTGCGCTAGCCTTCACCCAACCGTCAGCAGCCGCAGGGCCACCAGAGGCCGGGCTGCCCTGGAGCCCGAGGCAGCAGACCTGACCGCCGGCGCCGCCTGAGGGCAGGCCGGCGTGGCCGCGCTCGCCGCCAGGGGAACCGCCGGCACCGCCTGAGGGCAGGCCGGCGTGGCCGCTCTCGCCGCCCGGGCGGTCCATCAGCGCCAGAGCCGCCTCCCTAATGAGCCGGGTGCCGCCGCCGCCGCCCGGATTTGCCACCGGGATGACATGTGGCATTGCAGGCCAATGGCGTCACTCATCGCGGACAGGACTCAGATCACTCGCCGCTTTTCAGCCGAGATCGCTGCCTGAGAAGGATTCAAAAGCTTTCGGCGCCCATTCGGCCCCAAAGGCAACCGCTTTCATCACAACGAGAAATAGACGCGTCTGGGTGGGCAATAACGCGGGGCATTTGTGTGGCCTATCGTTCCGGATTGGTTTCATACACCGAACGCAGCAAGATCACAAATCCTCTACTGAGAACGTTGCGACATTTGGCTTATTTTTGTTGCCATACGTACGATTTATTCGCGGCATAGATCACACTCGAGTCGCGCCTGCTACGTGCGGGGTATACTTTATGAATGTTTAGATCTGTGAAGCGAGCGGGGCGGAGCGCGGCCATTTACCGCGGCGAGCCGAACAATCCGGCCAAGTGATGCGAGTCGTGTCGTCGGCCCCCGCCCGCCATAAAAGGCTCGAATGTGCCGCCGTCGCCGCCGCGCCCCATCTTCCGAGTGACGCAGAGCAGCGCTGCGCGGACGAGGGTAAAACGGCGGAGGAGGGCTACCGACTTAAACGGATGCGAGGGGGGCGACGGGTAAGAAGGAATTGCGAAGGGAGGTGGAGAAAAGGAGACCGAGAGGTGAATGTGACGTGCGCGGCATTGCATTTGTTAAATCCCACGCTTAGTCAACATTCGGGATGGACACAATACTCTGGGTTCGGGCCATGTCCACACGCCGATGTGGGCTAGCTGTGCGTGAGACTAGCCCTGACGCTCTGGGTTCGGGCCATGTCCACACGCCGATGTGAGCTAGCTGTGCGTGAGACTAGCCCTGACGCGCGCAGAACGGGTCCATCTGCCGGGAGTGGGGCTGGCCGGCGTCTGAGAATGTGCTGTGTGTGGAGCCACGTCAAACTGGAATAGCCTGTCCAATGAGGCGCATGGCACTTCCATTATCTATGAGTTAAGGCACGTGGTCCACCAGCGGATCAATGGCCGCGATAATCTACTTGTATATTCTACTTTTATTCAGCCTTGTTGCATGTCCCTGTTTTGTCCAAGCATGTCGTTTTTGTTTTATTTTGCTATTTAGCTGTTTTGTTATGCTGCACTGCTATATGACGCACGGGCATACAGAACCTACGTTCTGTACCCACGCTCCCACTCGCAGATGCCTTGTTCGCAACTCATCACCACCACCAGTCAGCGAGGACACTGAACCTCACGAGAAAGCGTGGGGAGGCTTCCAGCAACAGTGATTACGAGACATACCATCGGACCGATGCTCAGGTGAAACGAGCTATCCGGGAGGACACACGTGACAGCACTGCCGAGCTAGTGACCGGCACGCCCGCCTCTGCGCTACACCGTCAGCTGCAGCCGGCGACAGCTCTCAGACGTGGACCACCCGTGCAGCCGGAGAATCAGACACCGGACCACCCCTGCAGCCGGAGAATCTGACACCGGACCACCCCTGCAGCCGGAGAGTCTTACACCGGACCACCCCTGCACCCGGAGTATCTGACACCGGACCATCCCTGCACCCGGAGGATCTGACACCGGACCACCCCTGCACCCGGAGAGTCTAACACCGAACCACCCCTGCACCCGGAGAATCTGACACCGGACCACCCCTGTAGCCGGAGAATCTGACACCGGACCATCTAAATCCTTCAAACTTTTTCACTTCATGTGGAATTCACTTAAGTGGGAACAGAGACGAAAGATCTATCATCACCTAGTTTCTTCGGTACAATCTGGAGGAAATGAAAGTGCTTCATTCACGCGCCAACATAAGGGATTTAACATCCGCCTGTAACTCTGGTCTTTAAAGACTCGTGTGTGGATGGCGACAATCCGGTGAAAATGTTAAGGCTTTTGTTTCTGAAACATCGGAAGCATCTTGCTTCAGATCATTAGCACTAGTTTTGTCGCGGAAACAGTGCCTGCAAGTGCCCCACTGAACGCGTCCAGGACTTTGATCGACTTAAGTCCCTGTTTCGACGGCCAAGCTGCGGCAGCTCCAGATATCTGCAGGCTGGATCCAAAGTTACCTGGAGGGACACACGCAGAGTGAAAGGGTGGATCGGACTCTGTCAGAACCGAAAATGATCACCATTGTGACATTCCAAGGGTCTTGTGTCGGGCCATTGCCGCATGACATCTACAGCAATGACATCGCATGCTTGATTCCATCATATATAAACGAATTCCGTGTCCCGATAGCCCGCTACGCCGATAACACGCAGCTGGCCACTCCGGGCTCTCTGCTCAGATAAGCGGAGTGCAGCAGGTGCTGGAGTCAGTGCTGGACGTAGCGTGCGCGTGGTTTTTGCGGCATGAGATGATGGTAAATGCCGCCGAAACCGAAATGTTATTTTGTGGCGACCGTCGACAGCTGAGCCGAATCCGAGGTATCCCTCCGTGGTATGCATGGATCAGGTGGCACGGTGCTCAGAAATTGTGCGATTTCTCGGAATCGCGAGGGACTGACCCCTGTCACACAGCTGTCACATAGATCAGGCGGTAAAGACACGCACTGCCATCTGATTAGGCATTCTAACTGCTAATCACGAACTGCCTCCAACCGCATTACCTAGGATCATCGATGTCCTGGTTCTATCCCATGTACGTTATTGTGTGCAAGTGTATGATAGTGTAAGTCGTTTGAGCATCTCAAAACTGCAGAAAGTCTTCAAAAGCTGCTGCCAGGGTCATGTCATATCGACGAAAATGTGATCACAAACGTATGTAACCAATCAACAAGTTGGCTGTCGGCACATGAGTTTATTTCTTATTTTTATCTCTACTTGCGACGCAGCATTTTGATAACTGGAAAGCTGAAAGCTGAGAGCCGATGACTGGAAAGTTATTTTAAAACTGGGATTCGCAACAGAACTCGACAAACTTTACTTTATCCTTAGTAGGCTGTGTCGTGTGCAGTGTGAGCTGGTGTTTTTGGTCACACACGACCTACACTGCGACCAGCTGACGAGGGTCTAGGAATAACCCAAATGTTGTGGATTGACCCATTATGTGTGATATAGTACATTAAAGGGACCAGGGCCCGATGGGGGAGCTTTCTAAACATCTGGCGCGTTTATGTGGGCCTGATGCATTTAACTGACCCTAATAGGACAATTGTGTAACCATATATGGTCGTTTTCTTATTTGTTTTACGTTTGAAAAGTTCTGCTTGCATGAAGATGCACGAGTTCACTTTTTATCACGTTTGAAATTGTTATGGTACTCTGCGGAGATCAGGGTACTGTCTGAGCAACGCATGACTTACAAAACCATTTAAATTGCGTTGCAACGTCATAACTAGTTCCTGCGTTGTCTAAGACGGCCGATCGCGTCAGTGCGAGTGCTGTAACAGCTTTGGAGGGTGTATGAAATTGCTGCCGCAACATCTGATGTGCCCATGTTCCTACTTGCATTTGTCTAAAATCAGTGACGTTGTGGTGCATGCAAGTGCAAGAACAAGTGTTTTACTTCAATATTTTGACTCCTCTAGTGGTCTGCTGTTCTTCCCTCCTGACGCCGCCCCTGTGTCCGGCACGCGGATGCCTCCGGCGGCCAAGATCCCATCTTCCCCCTCCTGACGCCGCCCCTGTGACCGACAGGCGGGTGCGGCCGGCGGCCCAGAGTCAGTCCTCCCCTCCTGACCCCGCCCCTGTGACCGACAGGCGGGTGCGGCCGGACCCCCGCCGAGCAGCCGTCGTTCGCTGGGCCGATCGACAACCAGACCGTCTCTCTGCACAGGGATGTGACGCTCGCGTGTGTGGTCAATCACCTGGGCAAGCACCAGGTAAGCGAGCTGGCCCACCCGCCGCCCTGACAGCCGGCGGCGGCGGCGGGCCGGGCGCTGCAGCGGCGCATGCTTGGCGGACTGCGCGCGCTGGCCGGCCACACTCCCGGTGCTCACGCGTCGTTCCGGACCTGTATAACGTCTTCGACCAAAGCGGGTTTGTCGTGGCATTACGGTCCAAAATGCAGTCGGTGTCACGATATGGGCTGTCATGTCATGTCATGTAGGAAAGGGTCACGGATAAGACATCAAGCGATGCTGAGTAAAGCCGTGTTGTCAATGAAATGAAAGTTTGGTCTGTACTTGGTTTGGATCGCACAACGACGGTACACAGCTGTTTTGAGGATGTGCAGTTTTGGCCTTCGCGATCCATGTAACTTTTTCAGAAGTCTCCACCGAAGTATAGTCCATATTTTAGTATTTCAAGGGAATGTTTCACATTTTAAGTAGGAAAGCAAACATCAGATATAATGAAATACGTTTACTTGTAGCGATTACTATATTTCTAAGTGGAAAATGCTGCTCGAGACAACACAAGTTAATGTTGTCAATTTAGTGTTAGACTTTTTAGTAAATTTGTTTCTCAATGCGTCATTGTTTGGCTGCGTCATCATACCTTGCACAACATTAATTGAGAGCCAATTGACGGCCGTTATATCCCGAAATCGTGTTCACCAACACCAGTTATGAAAGACTCAACAATGACATTTTTCTTGGCCTTGATCGCCGTATGGCCAATGGAATGGCAGGACTTGAACGGCGTTATTATGGCGTCATGGATGCCTGGGTAACCTTGAAATAGTCTTTCCGAAATAGACCGCACATCTTCGTTGGCGTGTAGCTCAGCAACTAGAAGGGGTTTCGTCTTAAGAAGGACAGGACTGTGAACTGCACCGAATGATGTTCAACATGGCTATATCGGTTCAAAACCCGATGCAAATGTGGAACACTCCCGTTATATGACACGCATCTCAAATTATTGAATCTTAACTTAAAACCAGCTTAAGAATAACACTTTCAGCTTAAAATGATAAGCTGAGGCAAGGGTGAATCGATGGGACGACGGAAGAAGCGAGGCTGGTGTTGCAGACATTCGCTTCGGTTTAGGCGCATGAACGCACGAATTGATGACACTTCAATGCATAAACTCCTATAGAACGTACACACATGTAAGGTGTGCTGTGACATGATCACCCCGGCTTTTTCACTTTTCTCTCCAAACAATTTCGCCATCCTACACCACAGCCACGCACACAAAGTGCGCCTGATAGCAGGCTTCTTCCTACCACACGAGAGATATCCCGCCTTCCTCCCCTGCCAGTTCCCTAAAGCGAACCAGACTTTACATCGGTTTCAAATTATGTCGTGTCAGGCTATGGCCAGAAGTAGTTGACCGTTACTTGATATTTTGGGTCAAGTAGCTGACGAAAAGGACGGCCTGGTGAAACGAAGTGAATTCCGGCCCATACTTCTGCACGACACGCTTGCAAATGACTGCGACTCTTAACTCACTATAGGCGTGATAACCTAGTCCCCCTCTTGGCTTGGTTTATCGCGTGGGTCTCCTGTCCAGCACTGCCCCCCCCCCCGCCCACTGTCGGCTCACGTCACCGTCCGTCGCCCCTTCCCCACCCCCGGGCCGTTACTGTCCGCCCCCCTCCCCCCCGCCCACCGTCGGCTCACGTCACCGTCCGTCCGCCCCTTCCCCACCCCGGGCCGCTACTGTCCGCCCCCCACCCCCACCACGCCCGCCGTCGGCTCACGTTCCGTCCGTCCGCCCTTCCCCACCACCGTGGCCGGCTACTGTCCGCCCCCCGCCCGCCGTTCGGCTCACGTTACCGTCCGTCGCCCCTTCCCCCACCCCGGGCCGCCTCTACTGCCCCCCCCCCCCCCGCCCGCCGTCGGCTCACGTTACGTCAGTAGCCCTTCCCCACCCCAGGGCCGCTACTGTCGCCCCCACCCCACGACCGCGTCGGCTCACGTTACGTCCGTCGCACTTCCCCACCCCGGGCCGCACTGCACCCCCCCACCCCCCCCCCCGCCGCAGTCGGATCACGTTACCGTCCGTCGCCCTTCTCCACCCCGGGCCGCTACTGTCCGCCCCCGCCCGCCGTCCGGCTCACGTTACCGTCCGTCGCCCCTTCCCCACCCCCGGGCCGCTACTGCCCCCCCCCCCCCCCCCGCCCGCCGTCGGCTCACGTTACCGTCCGTCGCCCTTCTCCACCCCCGGGCCGCTACTGTCCGCCCCCCCCCCCGTCGCTCACGTACCGTCCGTCGGCCTCCCATCCGTTACCGCTACTGTCGCCCTTCCCCCCCCCGGCCGCTACTGTCCGCCCCCGCCCGCCGTCGGCTCACGTTACCGTCCGTCGCCCTTCCCCACCCCCGGGCCGCTACTGTCTCGTCCCCGGACCATCGTCTCCATTGTCCGCCACGGGGCTGGATGCGGCACACCGCACCGCTCAATGGCGGAATTATCCATTTGGAAACGGCCGAACCGAGCCGGATATTGGCTGCGTACGAGCACAGGGAGTATCGGCGGCGGATGACTGGCTTCCCTCACTAGATAGATTCGCCAGAGGGCTACACAGCATTGCATCATGTTCTTTTGCGGTAACTGCCTCTTCGGTAATATCCAGGTTGAATATGAAGCGAAAATGTTAAGCGATTAAATTGTTTGCAGCATGATGATGTTCGTAATGGGCACGACTCAAATTAGGTAATTCGCCATCGAGACCTTTTGGGTTGAGCTTTAGCCCCCGCGGTTTTAACACGCGCTCGGGTGGGGGTCAAATTGATCCCCCCGAAGGTTTTTCCAAAATGGCTTCCGAACGGCGCGGCGTGGCCGCGCCAAACTTTGCATAGCTGTACACAATTGAATAGCGGATCGTTTCACACTACATATTTAGATGTACCTTGTAGGTTCACTGACCTATGGCAGGTCAAAGTCAGGCCATAGTTTCAGCGAAGGCAATTTCTAGAGACTCATTTAATATGATGCAACAACGGGGTGTTTGATGAAGCAATGCATCTCTGAGATGCTTTCTTAGGCAAAGCAAGTGTTGAATGAGCAAATTACGCTGACCTAAGCGTAATTAATAAGGTCAGGTATGAAGGTCAGATCAGGGTCAAAACGAACCTGTTTTATTACTCTAGGGCTGGCTGTATGGGATAGTTGCTGGTGCTCATTTCGAATTTATTGATAGCAGGAACCGCATTATACATATTCATTTCACTCGTAAGAGGTCAGAATGGGTCATTGACCTAAGATGACCCAGATGGACATCTTTTTTAGAAGCATACTGCCTAGCGTTACCTTTGTCGCTTATTAAAATGCAATACTCAGAGTAGTCTTGCATGATTTTGTCACCACGACCTTTAAATGGTCACATAAGGTCACTGACCTTAAACTAGTTTGCGACGAGTAAACGAGTTTGCTCAAAAACAATTATCTAGGTTCTGGGTCACTTTGGATACCAACCTAGACTTTGACCTTGTTTGACCTTATTTGACCTGAAGATCATGACCTATGAACCTCAAACTTTGACCTAAGTGAGTTCACGTACAGGTCAACGCACTCTGCAAATTTGGTGTTTCTAGCTTTCTTAGTTCCAACATCTCAGGGTGGGGGGTCAAACTGACCCCCACTCGAGCGAAGGGTATCTAGCCGGCCACCCGGGCGCGTGCTAACATGCACTCGGGCGGGCAGTCAACTGAGCCCCCCTGAGGGTCTTTCCAGAACGGTTTCCGAACGACGCAATGCAGCCGCGCCAAATTTTGCATAGCTGTAGACAGTTGAATGGCAAACTGTTTCATTTTAAAAAATTAGATATACCTTGTAAGGTCGCTGACCTGCGGCAGGTCAAAGTCAGGCCATAGATTCTGCAAAGTCGATTTTTATGGAATCGTTCAACCTGATGCAACAATGGAATGTTAAACAAGACCATACATCTCTGAGATACTTTTTTAGGTAACGCAACAATTCATAAACAAATTTAATTGATCTAAGGTCAATTTTGAAGGGTGGACCAAGGTCATAGCCAATCTGTTTTATAGCTCTAGGGCTTGCTGTATGGGGTAGTTTTTGGCGTTCATTTCGACTTCATTGATAACAGGAAGCGCATAACACATCTTCCATCCACTTCTCAAAGGTCAGAATAGGTCACGGACCTAAAATGGCCCAGGTCAACGTCTTGTTTTTAGGAACATACTGACTAGCGTAATCTTTGTCACTCATTCAAATGTAAAACTCAAAGCAGTCTTGTATGATTTTGGTCACCACGACCTTCAAGTAGCGTCACTGACATTAAATGATCGCGTGATCTTTTGCTTATAACAGGTACCTAGGTTCTAGGGCACTTTGGAGATCTACCTGGAAATTGACATTGTTTGACGTTATTTTATTTGAAGGTCATGACCTAGAAACCTCAAACTTTGACTTGAGTGAGATCGGGTACAGGCCAACACACCCTGTAAATTTGGTGTATTTAGCCCTCTTAGTTCCTGAGATCTCAGGGGGGTCAAATTGGCTCTCCACCCGACCGAAGGATATCCAACCGGCCACCCGGGCGCATGTTAATGCACACTGGTATTGAACGAATGACGCCGTTTATTTCAACTTCGGTGTGATCTTGCATCGCACTACTCATTTCATACCTACAACCTCACCCCTCCCCTGTTTTGATATAAAAAATCCACTGTCTTGTATGTGCTCTGGTATGGAGCATCTGAAAAACTATACCACACTGCAACTGCTGTATGCGGTGGATGCGCTTCGATGGTTAGCGTGTACGCCTCCGATACTTATTAGAAAGTGGAGATCGCGGAGACCCTCAAACCCTTGTGAGCTTTTCCAGCTGTTCCCGGGCATTGCGCCGCGAAAGCTGCCGCCCGTCGCCGAGTGAGTCGCGCCGCGAAAGCTGCCGTCTGCCGTCGCCGAGCGAGTCGTAATCTGGCTGGTGTATCACGACCGCTATTACGGTCCGCTGGTATATCACGGTCCG